ATACTTGATCATAACTCCATCCACTGTGTCAATGACTTGACAACCAATTCAATCATTCAACAAAAGAATCACTTGAACGGATTGGGAGAAGAAGATTTGAACATAACGTTGCTATTGATGGATCAGAAGCACCTGGTTCTCGATGGTGGACATCCACACCAAAATAATTGTGGATGAACTTGATAATGTAGGAATGTTTCCTTGAATATGATTATTTAGCATAGTGTTGATTCCTCCATCTTGATTTTTTTTTTTTTTTTAATAGCACAAAAGAACAATCAATGCTAATGATAGAAAAAAAAATTCAAAATAATAAAAGCAATCAAACAAACCTTCGCATTGATGTTGAGGGCCATAGTTTCAAGATAATTAGTTGTTATACATGAAAACTTCGCTAGCTTATGATGCTATGAGATAATTCCATCTTGTTCACAAATTTGCTTAACGATTCCCTCAAGTGTAGGTCGTGTTATTCAATTATTTAGATTGAATTGGTTGTAATTGAAAAAATTACGTGCATTTGTTACCATAAAACCTAGAAACTTTAGGGAGAATAATTATTACAATAATAAATTTTTCATGCAACTTTTTTATATAACCTTGAGGTGGTAATTTATGATTGATCAGTTTGTATTTAGACAGATGTGACCTATTATAAACTGATCAATTGTGAATTATCATATTAAGATTGTATAAAAAAGTTGTAAAGGTAATGATGCTCTAATTGTTAACAACTAAGCTTTTCTTTTTTTCATTCTAATTACTTCACTGTGAAGTTAAGCCCCGTTTAAAATTGCTTCTTTTATTAATTAATTAATTTAATTTTTTCCAAAGTACTTTCATGATCGAAAGCAGAAAAGAACATTAATATTATGTTAATTCCAATGAGGTCATAGGCAATCTGGGCAGCCTAGCTAGCTGCCTATTCTTGGTGGATGACTTTTAGTTTACTATTAATTATTTAACACACAAATTAAAGGATTAATTAAGTTTGCATGATATCCTTGTCTTCTTCTTGAAGTTCAAACTTACTGTTTTATTATTTTGGATAAAAATTTTGAAAAGTAAGAATTGGATGAGAATAATGAGGTAAGATTTAAAAATTAATAAAAACACCACATAGGTTTGTTAATTTACTAAACACTCCTATAATAAAAATATTAAAAATTACAAAACACCCCATCCACCCATTGAATACCAGCAGTCAGCCATTACTGCCGGAGGGTGACCAGAGTCGCCGTATTGGTCCACGATCGACTGAATTTGGTCAGCCATGTACCGAGATGACCTTTTCCAACCAGATTCATCATGGATCTGGTCAAAAAATGTCAGATCTACAGCTTCATCTGGCCATTGATGGCTAGATTTGGCCACATTTGGTTGTCAATGACGGCCAAAGATATGGCTGTCATTGATGATCAACGATGGTCATATCTTAGCCGTCATTGATGTTCAACGACGGCCATATCTTGGCCATCATTGATGTTCAACGACGGCCATATCTTGGTCGTCGTTGACGACTAACTATGGCCAAAGCTATGGCCGTTAATTTGGCAGTAGATCTGGCATTTTTCGACTAAATCCACGGTGGATCTGGCTGAAAAATGCTATATTGGTACACTATCGGCTAGATCCAACCAGTAGTGAGCCATTATACTAGATTCTGGCCACTTTCCGGTGGTGGTAGCCAGAATTTGGCAAATGTGGGTGGGTGGGGGTGTTTTTGTCAATTTTTAAACTTTTTTTAGGGGGTGTTTAGTTAAATTAATAAATTTAGGGGGTTTACAAATAGTTGAATAAAATATAATAATATTTTCATAATAGGGAAACAAACGTGTATTTTAGAAATAGTATGAATAGGATAGAAAAAAATATTAAAAAAAACATACCCTTTATATTATTTGAATTAATTATTTTATTAAATGAATATATAACATCTACCAACCCAGATGATATTCGAGAAATCAACAGAGAAATCTGTACACAATAATTAGTATGAAGAAGAGTAGGGTAACTTTCAACAACTAAAGTACAAAAAAATTTATAGCATATATACGAAACCAAGCTTTGAGTAAGCATCGATTCGCTTTAACAATACATTTATTGTCTTTTGTCTGAAATGTAGGCTTGTACGGGAGCTGCTAACAGAAGTTAAATATGAACGCACCTTCGCCATGATTAACCGTAGAGACAACAAAAATAGGTTAAGGGTCTATTCATGTGTAATAAACCCCTTGGAGTGGAGAAGAAAAAATAGTATGAAGTTTGCTTAGACACAGTCAAGGAAGAAGACCATTCGCGGTGTCTACCATTACTTCTCCCTACTAAGCCATGGTTCCAACGGCCACGTCTTTGTCCTCCAAGTTGATATCCACCGCGGCCAGACATTTTCCAAAGTTTCTTCACATGAAATGAAGATAGTCGACCAAAGTGCTACAAAATTTATAACATATATACCAAGCCAAACTTTGACTAAGTAGTGATTTACCTCGACAATGCATTATTGCCTTTTGTCCCAAAATCAATTTACCACGAAAGCTGCTCACAAAAGTTTAATGTGAATTCACCTTCATCATGATTAACCGATCTAACTTAGAGACACAAAGGATGTTTTAATGAAGTTTGCTTTGACACAGTCAAAGAAGAAGACCCTCATTCGTCTTCACCTCCGTGGTGTCTACCCCCACGTTTACGTACCATGCCTTGGTTCCCACTACCACGTCTTCCTACTCCAAGTTGGTATCCAACTCGGCCAGAAATTTTCCAAAGTTTCTTTTCTTGGAATGAAGACAACTGGCCATAATGCTATAAAATTTGTAACATATATACAAACCAAACTTTGACTAAGCAGTGATTCACCTTAATAATATCTTTCTTGCCTTTTGTCCCAAAATCAGGACGCTGTGGAAGCTGCTAATAGAAGTTAAATATGAACTCACCTTCGTCATGATTAACTGATCTAACTTAGAGACAAAATTTGGGTTAAGGGCCTTATCATGTGTATACCTCTTGGAGTGGAGAAGAAAAAGAATAATAAGTTTTCTTAGACACAGTAAAAGAAGAAGACCATCTGTCATCTTTACCTCCGTGTTGTCTACCCCCATGTCTTCCTACTATGCCATGGTTCCCACCGCCACGTCTACATACTCCAAGTCGGTATCCACCTTAGCTCGACATTTTCCAAAGTTTCTTTTCTTGGAATGAACACAATCGACCAAAGTGCTAAAAATTTTATATCAGATATACCAAGCCAGACTTTGATCAAGCAGTGATTCACCTTGACAATATATTTCTCGCCCTTTGTCCCAAAATTAGGCCGCCATGGGAGTTACTAACAGAAGTTAAATATGAACTCACCTTCGTCACGGTTAACCGGTCTAACTTAGAGACAAAAAAAGTAGGTTAAGGGTCTATTCATGTGTAATATACCTCTTGGAATGGAGAAGAAAAAGAATATGAATTTTACATAGACACAATCAAAGAAGAAGACTGTCCGAAGTATTCACCTCCACGGTGTCTATCCCTACCTCTTTGTATGACGCCATGGTTCCTACTGCCACGTCCCCTTACTCCAAGTTGTTATCCACCTCGGCCAGACATTTTCTAGAGTTTCTTTACTTGGAATGGAGACAACCGACCAAAGTGATCCTCAATTTATTCCGTAAATACAAAGTTTGGTTCCCAAACATCTCCCTTGATTTTCTCCTCTTAATTGTATGAATGTGTATAGCATTCCCTCCCTCTTCTAAGAACCTTATCCTCAAGGTTTGAAATGAGAAAAACGACTTATAACCGTCTCCCAAATCTTCTCATGTGGCATTTTCAGGATAGTTTCCACTTTTGACAACACGTCGATCAAAAATCTTCATAGGATCTAACAAGATCTACCCTTCATCACTAACAGGAGGCAATTCAGGCTCTGCAATTAATTGTTGGCCAACTTTTTTTCCTTTAAACAAGAGATATGGAAAACCAACTGTAACTGGGAAGTGAGAGTAATTCCAAGCGGTAAGCAACTAGTCTGATACGCTTAAGTACCTTGAAAGATATCATGGAGAACGCTTTTTATCTTTGCGGAATGCAATAGATGATTACCGATACGGAAGTAGATGCAAATACACCATATCCCTTATCTCAAAGAAGTCGCTTTGTCCGATGTTGATCTGCTTGTTGCTTCATACAATTTTAAGTGTTCTCCAAAGCAATTCAGTTTGTGAGCTCTTGGTCTATTGCTACAACAATAGAATCACCAGAAGTATACAAAGGTAGAGAATGAGGACGTAACATGGCATTTCGGTTCGTGACCATACACTTTTTCATACGGGGTAAATTTAGTGGCAATGTGGAAGGAAGTATTAAGTAACCATTCTGCTAACGCCAGCCAATTGGACCAATTTTGCGAACAATGGCCAGTGACACAACGAATATAAGTTTCCAAGCAAGGTTTGGCCATCCTATTGGGGATGATATGCAGAGCTCGCAATTAGAAAAGAGTATTCCAAAAAGTGCTTGTGAAAATTGGATCCCGATCACTCACAATAGTAGCAGGCATACCATTCGTATGAAAAACATGATCCATAAAAAGTTTAGCCATATCCTTTGTTGAATAGAGATGACTTAATGCAATGAAATGGTTGTATTTACTAAACCAATCAACCACCACAATAATAACATCCTTCCTATTTTAACGAGGTACCACTTCGATGAAATCCATCAAAATTCAAACATTTGTACAACTCAATGGTTTTAGTAATTTAAAGGTTACATTGGAAATTTTCTTTTAAAAAAATGGAAAACGAAGGAGTAAAAAGAAAAAAATTCAAAGTTCTAGGGTTTTATTGACATTTAGTAGGATCTATATTGAATTTTTTAAACTAGTAGTGAAATGATATTTTCTAGATGTAACATGTAATTGCAAAAACGACTGGGTTTTGGCGCAAATGGCATCGTTCAAACAACAACGGCGCCGTTTTCTCTCTGCTTGTGCTGAAATGAAAAGGGGTTCAAATCCCGTTTCATTTACCTCTTGGGCCTTGGCACAGCTCGTTCTCCCTCACTCTTACCTACTCTCTACTCATTCTTCTCTTTTGACGGAATTTCTCGCAGGAGATTGACGGTTTATTGACCGAAATCCGGCTGGAACTCGCTTTCTTCAATACCTTTCTGGTTGGTATGAAATTAGTTTCTACTAGTACCCGATTGTATTTAAATTTTCGTTTTCGGTTCGTTGGAGTCCTTCAATTTGATTTTAGACGCTTCCTTTTAACAGAAAAAATTCCGTGAGGACAAATCTGGTGGTCTGCTTCTTCGAAACGACGACTAAAATTGCGTTTTCAGGTACAGAAATTTTGACTTCGGTATCTTTTAGAGGTTATGGGGTAGATAATTGGAGTGCCATTGTGCATCGATAATTAATGGTGGGGAAAGAATGGTAGATTGAGATTATTCATGGCCAGCAGTTTTGTTGGTTACTCGAGATTTTTCAAGTGCTATGCATAAATTTACTGTATGTTGAGTATTTGGAAGAATAAATGCAGGATTTGAATCTTTGCAATTCCCATTAAGATGATCTTTAAGCCTGGGTGTAAAATTCGCCAGTCTTAGTTGAAATTGCACATCACTTGTTTGTTAACGTGCCTAACAGAGAAGCAACTGAATATAATCTATGGAAGGGTCAGTGAATTGTTTTATGTTTTTCTTTTTTATTTATTTATTTATTATTATTATTATTATTATTTTTTTTTTTTTTTTTTTTTTTTTTTGGGTGTAGAGTAATAATTGTGGCACGCTCTCTCAGTTTGATCAATGCTTATAATTCCATTTGATTTAAAGTAATGAAACATGCTCTGACACTGGTAAAGCTTTCTGTCTATATGCCACTCATATACTTTGCACTGTAAAAGAGAAGTCATTATGACCTTTTGTGGTTCTTAATCAATGACTCTTAAGCTGGAAATAACTAATTTTGTTTCATTTTGTTTGCTATTTAGACAGGGCACTGCAATTTGAACTTTACAGTTGCTTATTGCTACTTAAAATGGCCAGTGCTCGCTACCAGAGAACGCAAAATGATGGACTTGGGCCGGGTTAATTATTGATTCTGCTATAATTTTGCTTTGGAACAATGAGATGGTTCAACGGTTTTTTGGGTAAAGTTGCATCCTCTAGATTTTTGTGTGAATGCCATAAAGGAGTTAATTATCAGCAAAAATTTGGTCTGGTGAATGTAAAGTTGAAATGGGTGAAGGACAAGTCATTGGATGCTGTTGTGGCTGGTGAGAGGGATCTTAGAGCAGCCTGCATCCTTGTTTCTGTAATTTCCTCTCTTTCACATCACTTTGTTCCTATTTACCACCTCTGCAGGCACCGTGGCCAACTTAATTTACCTCAAGATCTTAAATTATCTACTTTTATCCGGAAATACCCTACTATTTTTCACGAGTCGCATGTTCTTGACAGTGGAGGCACTCGTGTCCCTGCCTTTGGATTGACTCCTGAAGCTGTTGATCTTCACCAGGAAGAGCTTAATGTTATTCAGCAGAGTCAGAAGGATATTATTGACAGGCTCTGCAAACTTCTCATGCTTACTAAGCACAGGATACTACCTTTACAAACTATTGACCAGCTGAAATGGGATATGGGATTACCGTATGATTACCAGGATTCTGTGGTTCCACATCATCCTGGTTTATTTTCTGTGGTCCATCTCCCTGATGATCGTCTTGGCTTGAAACTTCTATTCTGGGATGATCACCTTGCTGTATCGCAATTGCGAAAGAGCGCTGTTTTACAACAGAAGGAAACAGACATTAAAAATAATTGCTTGGCATTTCCAATTAGATTCACAAGGGGTTTTGGGCTGAAAAGGAAGTGCATGAAGTGGCTAGAAGAATGGCAGAGGCTGCCTTATACTTCACCTTACACTGATGCCTCCCATTTGGATCCACGTACTGATGAGTCTGAAAAGAGAATTGTTGGAGTGTTTCATGAGCTCCTACACCTCACTATTCAGAAGAAAACAGAGCGCAAGAATGTGAGCAATCTTCGCAAGCCATTGTCTCTGCCCCAGAAATTTACTAATGTGTTTGAGCGCCATCCTGGCATTTTTTACATTTCTAAGAAGGGTGATACTCAAACTGTTGTTCTTAGGGAAGCTTATGACCATCAACAACTCTTGCAAAAAAACCCCCTTGTTGATATCCGGGAAAGATTCGCAAGCCTTATGAGTAAAGGATTTTTGGAGAAGAGTAGGGGCTTATACAAGAAGATGTCTGGTGCTGATCTGGAGAACCCATCAAAGCTTGTATCCCGTCATCAACTCAGTGGCATAGGATATAGTTCTGAACTGGAGTTAGATTGTATTTTGTTTTCCGACTATGAGTCAGATGACCCTGCTCACTGTGCCTCATGAATTCCGTAATTGAATATCTTGGGGTTTTTATGACCTACTCAGAGAATTAGTTAAGTGGACCAGGTTCTTTGTATAATGCTGGGAGGTATATTGCTCTCCTTTAACTTAGGTTGATTCTCTTGATAGGTAATGTGAAAAGCTTTGCTATTCTCTCCATATTAAGATTTAACTACAAACTTGAAAGATGAGATGCATGTTGGCGGGCATGTCTTCAACAATATCTATTTACTAAAGCAAAGAGGTAGTCCCCTATATCTTGTTGGAACCCTATGTGTTGTATACAAAATTGCAAGTTTAGAGGCTTTCAAAATTATTGGTGAATTACACAAGTTATAGAACAATATTCGGATTATTAGTTTAATACTCTTTTAATTGGTTGAAATTACATTTTATATCTAGCATGTCTAATGTACGCTCTATTGGGAATGTTGTGTATAGCCCTTGTATCTAAAATATCTCATGAATAGTGTAAAACAAAGGAAGCTTTTATTGTAAGTTATATTATACATAGTTGAATAGAGATTCTAATTATATTCATTTTGCACTCTAGTATGAAAAAGTCTTTACATAGGATGGGTGGTACCACATCATTTAGACGTCTATCTGATCATATCCAACTACCTAGCATTTATTCTGATATCTGTCAAAATGCTGGCAAATCGCTGTCCTGTTTTATTTTCAGCAGTCTTAAAAAATTTAGCTAAAGGAATGATCTGCTTTGATTGATGTTTTTTTGTGTCTTTTGAATTTGGTTAAAACTTTCAATGGCTTATGGGTCTTTAATTTCTTGGGAAAGATACTTAGTGTATAACCAAAATGATTCTTCCCGTTAAACACTGTAAACCTCTGGATCTGATGTCTTTTTTTTCTTTGTCCAGACTCAGCTTGGATCACAAGAAACACCAAATTTCAAAGCCCTCCCTGCGAAAAGCAGTCGTAGAAAGTTGATTTGCGATAGATTACGAAGTTGGTTTCTTGAAATCTGCCCAACCCAATCCCTCTGAGTGGGGAATCCCTGGAAAATTCTGACGGGGGGTGGGGAAAATATACCCCTGAAACCGGGGATGGGAGCGAGGCGGGTGATATTAAAAGGAAAATAAAAGAGTTATCGAAAGTTACACACTGAATTTGTGCACCGAATGACGTGGTAAAATCCTAACCATTGATTAATATTAACTTATATTGAATCAACGGTCAGAATTTTGCCACATCATTCGGTACACAAATTCGGTACAGACCCTTTGGTAACTGTAGCATTACTCGATATTGAAAACCCGAACAAACCCAATCCCGTTATCGTCCTCGTTCCTGGTAAAAGTATATAATATATCTAACATAAATAATTAATCTTGATTATTATTTTATTTAAAAAAAAAAGAAGTAAAATGAAATTGGGCTCTTACCCCATCAACCTAGCATGTTTCTTTCATATTACAAATTTATGCTCTATATATATATATATAGGTTTTTGGGTTAGTTTGTATGCATTTCAATTAATATTGCAGTATGATCGGTTAAGAGTTCCGGTAATTACCCTTATTAATGTTTAGGGACTCGAACTCAAGATAAGACCATTCAATGATATTTTTTATGTTAAAATGTTCATCTTATTATTGATGCAATTAATATTACTAAATTATGGGAAGAAAATCTTATTTGCAACGAGATTATCTCATATAAATGTTGGGTATTTTTAAATATTTGTTTTTTCTTGATAACCGTACACTATAATTTTATCAATAATTATTGTATGCGTTTGGTTTAATATTTTTATCCCTATTCTGGATCCTATTTTTCAAATAGCGTTTGGTACAATATTCTCAAAATATTACCCTATTTTTTTTAATTACATTTTAACCCCATAAGATTATTAATTTCACTAAATACCCCCTGAAAAAAAAGTTTAAAAATTAACAAAAACACCCCCATCAACCCAACTTGTCAGATTCCGGCAACCACCGTCGGTGATCGCCGGAATCTGTACAACGGCCAAACTTCCGACCAGAAATGGCCGGAAGTTCACCGCTGTGGCCTTTTCCTGCCAGATCCCCACGGATTGGCCGGAAAAGGCCAGATCTGGCCGTCAGCGACGCCCAAAGAAATGGCCGTCGTTGACGGTCAACGACGGCCAAATCTTGGCCGTCGTTGACCGAAACGACGGCCACATCTTTGGCCGTCGTTTGGCCTTTTCCGGCCGTCGACGGCCAATACAAACCGTATCTGGCCTTTTCCGGCCAGATCCACCATGGTCTAGCCGGAAAAGGCCACAAGACGTGTTAGGCACAGATCCGACAAGTCTGTGCCGTAACAAAATTTTCCGGCCAGATTCCGGCGGTGGTGGCCGGAATCTGACACTGCAGATGGTGGGGGTTTTTGTCATTTTACATGTTCGGGTCTTTATTTAAATTAGTAAACCTAAGGGCTTTTTTATAAATTTTAAAATTTACCTCGTAATACTCCCATATCCAATAACCCAATACTATCCCTAAAATCCTACCCAAAATACTAAACCAAACGCACCCAATACTATTATGGTGCGGATAAAAAAACCTATTATTTATGTAATGGTACGTGACATTTTAAAATTAGACAAATCTTATAAGTGGTACAAAAAAATTGAAGGTTACTTCGTTAATAAAATTAGGGTTTTAATATATTTAATGGGATTAATGTTTTTTTCTTTTTGGGATATGGAAAAAAGAATATTCCCAAAAAAAAAAAAAAAAAAAAAAGCAAAGCGAAATTGAAAGAAACAGAATTTTGACTCTAGAGGACTGTTTTAAAACTCGGACCGGACCGATCAGTTCGACCGAGACTCAGTTCGACTTCGGTCCGGGTTAATATAAAACTGGTATTAATTGAAAAAAACTGCTTCTGACCATTAATGGACCGGTGAACACACAAACCGGTCGTCCAATCGCCCAAAGCTTAATCAGTCACTATTGAGCCCTTGAAAAAAACCCTAATCCTCATCCTTTTCATTCTCCATTTCGTTTCTAGGTTTAGTCGAGCCAGCCGCAACAGCAAAACTTGGGAGATTCTCTTCATCATCTTTTTTAACTTCCAATTGCATCTCCAATCATCGAATCTTCTTCATCTTCTTTAACTTAAACTTCAACAACGGTGAGGAAACTCGGTAGATTCTCTTCATCTTCTTTACTGATTTTGTTGTAAAGCAGGTGTTTTTGGTCATGGTGGTGTTTCTGTCCTCCTGTGGTGCGTCCTGCAAAGTTATTTTTTTCCCTTTTGGTGCGCGTGTTGGGCTTCAACCATCTGTGGGTAGTCTCTTTTTGCGGGTGCCTGCTGCTGGCTGCTTTGTTTTGGGTTGGTTTTGTCTCTGTAGTTTGTTTTGTTAGGGATGGGCAGTTTTTTTGTGTATTCTTTATTTTTTTTATACGATTACTAGTTACGCGAAAAAAAAAAAGGTCAAAGAAGCATTAAGGTGCTAGACCAAAAGTTAAATGTTGACCAGCCCAACCGACGGTTCAACCAATTGGACCGGTCCACCCGGGACCCGGGCAGCATACTGAGTTTATCAACGGGTTGGTTTTTAAAACAGTGCTCCAGAGCTCGTACGTTTCATTCTCCTTTTTTTTTAATATAAAAAAAAATTCAAAAAAAGAATTATAGAACCTCGAAATTATACTCTTTAGTTTAGAAAATAAATTACTATGAGTAAACAATAAGGCAGGAGAAAAGCTCGAAATATCAGGGTTGATTTTGTTGATTTTTTTTTTTTTTTTTTAAATATGTAGAAGTTTTTTATGACTTTAAAAAATACAATTAAAAAATAGCATACAAAAGAGAAAGAAGAAAGCAAATTTTAAAAATAATTTGTAATATGAAATACGAATCAAATTTTTTTAGTTGTAACTTAATATAAATTTTATATTTGATATAATATTCAAAATCTTGTTTTAGATTAAAAAATTTGAAATTTTTGGAAAATGACTTTTAATTATTTTCTAATTTTGCACTAATTTTTATATGAAGGTATTTTAAAACTGTTTTTGAAATCATTTGAACTCATTTCTATATCCCTTGTTTTCAAGTTTCAACAACAAAAATTTTTATTTAAATAATATTTTAATCGAGCCATTACTGCTTATATTTTCCATTAAAATTTTAAAGTAAGAAGTATATAAGCTAAAAACGACAAAATTCTCCGAAATCTTATTTCAAACAATTAAAATGTTCCAACAAAGTTAAGGTTATATGATAAAATTTCTCTTCCATAAAAATAATATTTTCAAGCCTATTCAAAAAAAAAAAAAAAAAAAAAAACTTTAATTGAAAAAATAATTTATAATTTAAAATATTTTCAAAAACTATTAATTACTGAAGTTTTTAATAATTTCTGAAATGAATAATAAAATTATTTAAGGATTTCTTGTCGCTCTATTTTAAGTTTTTTTTTTTTTAAATAACTATTCTTAAAAATATAAAATATAAAATATAAAAGCGTTGAAAGATATACACACAGTAAGGTTTGATATGATAACAAAAATTTCTTTAAAGTTTTTGAAATAATAAATATTCCTTTATTGTTAGTAAAAACATATATTCTCGTAAGTAAACGTATATTTTCTGAATTACACTTTTATAGTTTATTTTAGAGTAAATGACTTTGTTCCACCCAAATATCGGCTTAATAACATTTTTTCACTCACATACTTTTAAAATATCATCTTATTACCCAAATTTATATTTTGTTTCCGATTCTACCATCGTTGTAACCCCACACCACTACCATCTTATTCCTCTATCATTACTTACCAAAACCCCTCAGGCTCTACTTCCATTGACGCCTCTAATCATCGACAATTGAGCGATTAGGGTTTACGTAGCTACTTCTCTCAAGTCAAATTCTGATCAATTTAACCATTAAAATCCAATATTCCACCGCTAAAAGACTCATCAATATTCCCTCTTCAAAAACCTCAACAACCTGGACCGAGTTTGTTCTCTGTTCGTCGTCGGAATATAAATTTGAGTAGTAAAATCATATTTTAAAAGTCTATAAGTGGGAAAGTGTCATTAAGCCATTATTTAGTTGGAAACAAGTCCTTTTAACTTTATTTTAACATTCAAAGTTTAACGATAGAGCAATTTTTATTATTTTAAAAACTTTAAGGGGGAATTTGTTATATAATTAAACCTCAGGTATCATTGTTATTATCCATGAATAGAAAGAAAAATCAATTCCACAAAAAGGTGGAAAAATAACCCGCCCGGCCCGGCCCGGCCCGTAGCGGGTTATGCAAAAAGGCAGGTCGGGCCTAACCCGGCCTGCCAACAGCTAGGCCCACCTCTTGGCCAGAAGGGTTGGCCCAGCCTGGCCCGCCAACCCTAACCCGGTGGGTTTTGGTGCGGACTGGCCTAAATTTTTTGTTTTAATTTTTTTTTCTTTTGTGTAATTATTTTTAGCTAACTTTTCAAATATCAATAATTCAATTAAATTAAATTTTTTTTGTTAACATTTCAATTATTAATTCAATTTTAATACAATTAAATTGTAATATAAGAAAAATTAAATTTATTCATTTATCAAAAAATAAAATAAGAAATAAGAAAATACAACAATTATTGCCTCGTTAAAAACCTTATCAAGAAAAACCCAATTGGGACAAAAACTTGGTAAAGAAAAAAGAGTGCAATAATTGATAATTAATTTACAAAGTTATAATTTACAAAACAACTAATTTGGGGGGACCTCTCTCATCCGTATCATCTATATTACAAAATTGAAATGATTTTATTAAAGTATCGTCGACAACCTCGTATTGATCCTGATGGCGCACCGTTCCTAATCTGGAAGACATGTGAGAACTTCAATCATTTTTTGTGAAAGTTTAGTCCTCCTTTTATTTAAAATTCTTTCACTTGCACTAAATGTTTATTTGGATGAGATGGTTGAGATAGGAACGGAGAAAACATCCAGGACAAGTCTTAATAATATCGGAAAAATACATTTTCTGGTTTTCCAATATTCTAAGACATCAAAGTTGGCTCTTTGTTGTGGATCTGTTGATATCACGTCGGGGGTTCCCAAATATTGGTGAAGTTTATTACTTTGTGGCTGCATGGAGGACAACACATTCGTTGTTGATACTTCTGAAAAGGAGGTTGTGCTTCGGGTTCGAGTCCTCTTTGACCTATTAAGTGCACTCCAGGAGTCGAAGTCTTCATATGTTTCTTCTGATGCTACTTCCTCGGGTATTTCACCTCTTCGCTGATTCCCATACTTGTTTTCATATTGCAAATATACCTTTGCAAGACACTCACTTATATCTTCTAGTTGATTGGCATATACTTCGTCTTGTAAATTTTCACTTAACGTGTCGAAACCATTTTTTAAATGCGCTAATTTAATTCTAGGATCAAATATGGTAGCTAAACAATAAAGAAAATGAATAGATTTCCAATATTTTTAAAATTTTAATTCTATTGCCTCTATTGGTCTCGCTAAAATTTTATTGTTTTTGTTTTTGTTTTTAAAATAAATCTGAAATTTTTATAATTATATGTATTACTAATGAACTAGTAAGATAATACACACCAGAAAAGTTGTAAAGTGGATTGATACAAAAATTTAAGAAAATAATGAAATTTTTGAGCTATATGCCAATCACTGTCTACCAAATAATGAGGACTTCTATTATTTGATACAAAATAACTAATTAAATTTGCATAAGGTAAACATGAATCAAGCATTAAATAAGTATTATTCCATCTAATAGGCATGTCTAATGCAAAAGTTCTAGGAGACATATTTGATTTTATACAAGCATCTTGAAATTCAGCATTTCTTGTATTACTACTAGTAGTTCAAGCTAAAGAATCTCTAATTCTATCAATATTATTTATAATTTTTTTCATACCACTTTTCACAATTAAATTAATAATGTGATATGCACAGCGTTAATGAAAAAAACTCCAAATAGTCATAAAAATGAAAATTTATTTAAAAAAAATCTATAGTTTTATTATTAGAACTTGCGTTATTTAAAGTTAAATTTATCACTTTATGAATAACATCGTAATCTTCTAAAATTTCAATAATTTTATTATAAATTTGTTGACCACTATGATCCACATCCATTAATCTAAATCCTAATAAAGATTTATTTAATTTACATTCGTTATTAAAATAATGACTAGTCACAAAAATATAATCTTGTTTAGCTCTACCACTCCAAATATCGGCGGTTAGAGCCACACAATATGACAACTATGTATTTTATTTTTTAATTCTAATTTCATTTTCCCAAACAATTTTATTAAATCATTTCTAGTTGCAGTTTTAGAATAACTTTTAAATCTTGGAAAAAATGAATTTTTAACAAATTTTTCAAAATATTTATCTTCAGCCATATTAATAGGTTGATCAGTTGCAGTAATATGTCAAACTAATTGTTTCATATATACTCATATTAGTTATTTGAGTTTGATTGGTTTATGTATTTCCATGTTAAGTAATATGTTTATTAGCATGTATTTTTTAAGTACTAGTACCATTACCTGCATCAGCTTTATAATATTTTCATAATACTTGCATCTTGCTTTCTTCATGTGAACTTCATTTTCTGTCTTGTAAAACTTATCAAAATGCACCCAAACGTCTGATGTGTGCCTATCGTCAGTTTTGACTATAGTTGATGAACCTGCTTATGCTTGAAATGGAGTTGGACGAGGACGACTTCTAGAACCACCGGGAGCTGTACCAGCATGGGGAGGAAGGGAGGAAATATTATGAGGTGTATCGGATTCTAAGAATGGGAAAGCATGACTATTTGAATCTACTACATTTATGTTAGTAAATTCAAGGGGATTATGATAATTTCCTTCATCATCGAAATTGATGGGATGGAAATATTTATTCATTATAGTTAAAAAAAAAAAATTGGATATAGAAGAAATAAAAAATTAAAGAAGGAGAATTGAAATTTGGAAATATGAATTGAAAATTGCAGAAACTAATAAAAATTAAAATGAGATCAAATTTGCAACAAAGAGAATAATTGAGAGATTTCAATAGAGAAAATGAGAGAATGAGAGAATTTGGGATGTGAGAAAAATAAGAGTTTAGGCCTTATTTATAGAAAATAATAGAAAAAATATGATAAAAAAACCCCTCAAACTGCTATATTTTAAGGGTAAAAGAGGTATTTGAAAAAAAAATTAATTAGTTAATTACTTTTAATTTTTTTTGTCCAACCGCCAGCAGGTTGAAAACCCCCAACTCAACGAGTTGGATGGGTTTTTTTTAATAAAAAATATACAACCCGTCGGATCACCGGATTGGTCTATGAAGATCCAACCCACTCGACGAGGTATATGCGGGCCGGGTTAAACCCGGCTTGATGCAGGCCGGGTTAGGCCTAATCGGCCCATTTGTTCCACCTCCGGTTCCACAAAAAAACATATTAATCGACTTTTAAAACTTTTCATTTTCACCCTCAACTCAGCTCTTTAAGTCTTAACCCAAAATCATTCGCAAACTCAAACTCAAAAATCTGAAAATGATCTTTTCAATTTCAACTACACTTGCCAGAAATCTGTATCTTCGTCACTCTAATCCATCACCATTTCTGAAATTCGAAGTTCCTTCTTTTTCTATCAAACGGTCACTTTTCTTGCCCTCCAACGCCCCACTTCAAAAGCTTAACAATGCCAGAACAAGAATCCACTACAGAACCATCGTATCTTGTTCGCCGGAGAGAGTTTCTCCGGCTAAAACGCTTCGGCAGATTCTTGAGTTGCCTGGGGTCCATCTGGGCCCCGCTTGTTTCGATGCTCTCAGTGCTAAACTTGTTCAAAATGCCGGCTTTCTTTTTGCTTTTACTAGTGGTAAGTTATGTGTTATATGTTTTGTTAATTTGTTTGGTTTTTATTTGATTAATGAGATTGCATGATATGGTTTAGTTTCAATTTTTGTAATTGTTGCTTTTCATTGGGGTTAGTGAAGCTCGTAGAAAATGCATTATTTTTTTACTGTTTATGTGTTTTATTTATTTATTTTTTTTTTTTTTGTGTTTATGTTATGTGTTTTGTTTTTGTTTGATTATATGGGTTAATTTCAATTTTTTTGTAATTGTTGTTTTTCATTGAGGTTGGTGAAGATTGTAGAAAAGGTTTTTTTTTTTTTAATTGTTTATGTGGTTTTCTTTTAGCGATTAATCAGATTGCATGATGGGTGATTTTTTCATTTTGAGTTATTAATTTTAAATACTGAGTTTAAGATTATTATTGTTACTTTTTTATTTGTTCATGGGGGATGATTAGTTTCGTTACAGAGAAGGCTGGTTTTGTTTGTTGTTTTGGTAACGTTATGTTATGTGTTTTTTGTTTTGTTTATTATACTGAATTTTTTATGAAGTGGGTTTGTTTCAATTTGATTAAGTATTTGAGTTTGAGATCGTTCTTCTTTTGGGATAATTAGTTTCATTGTAAAACATCTGGGTTCACTACTAAGCTTCGAGAAAAGTTTGTTTGTTTGTTTGTTTTTTTCCTTCTTTTATGTGATCACTGAGAATGCGTGATATGGGATTGTTTCATTTGTTATTCGTTGGGATAATTTGGTTTCATCGTGAAACATCTGGATTTTATTGTAGTAGGTGTGGGGTTGTGTTTTTAATGAGGCTTTTGGTGTGTTTATGATCGTCTATTTGGAATTCCTTGTGTTGAATACTTGAAATTCGGGCTAAGAATGTTAAATGCAACTGTTTTATGCCCATTAGTATCTTTTTTTTTTTTTTTTTTTCAGTTGATTTATGATGTGCTTAATGAACAGTTAAAATGGTTGATAAAGTTTCATCATGTGTTACAGGTTTTGATAGATTTTGCTTTTGAGAGTCGCTGGTTTTCGTTGTAACTCTTATGATTTTGGTTTAAAATAATTGGTAATTTCTCTTGTTTGTAAGATTGTGATTTTAACTATTCACTCGTTTTTTAATCTCATGACCCTCTTTACTTTGATTCAATAGTTGGAATAGGAACGGAGAATGGTCAAACTTGTTTTTGACATATTCCAGGTGTGGTTTATTTCAGTGGTGGCATGTATTTAGACTCACATATAGATACAATGTTTCTTGTTGGATGATTTCTATCTAACAAATATCTCATTGTTCTTGATCATATCTGACAAATATGCAAAAAGTAATTAGTAGTATGGCTTTGATTGGTTGCTTTTTTCTGTGTGCCAGGCTATTATTTGTTATCTTGATCCCTACAGATTTCTTTACCAGGTATCAAGTTAAAATGGATACATAATTTTTAAGCAATTAGGTTTAGCAGGATGTTTAAGTTAATGTATTGTGTTTAGTTGGGATATAATATTAGTTCTCATCCTTTTTTCTAAGAAGATTAACCAAAAATCAGGGAGCAAATGTGAAGAAAACGACAAGGAAAAAGATTACTGCAGTCTGTAATTACCTTTTTCATATAAATAAGAACTTTCAATTACTTTGGCCACATGTTTTCTCACTCAATTGGCAAACAAGTTTGTTAATGTCATTACATGATTCCACTAGGATATTCTATATCTGCTGCTCGACTGGCCTTGCCAGACACTGGATTTTTGTCTTATGGGGAGATGGTGGATCAGGGACAGCAGATCACCCAAGCTGTGACAATTCCTGTTATCGGGGATGGTGATAATGGGTATGGTAATGCAATGAATGTTAAGAGAACCATCAAGGGATTTATCAAAGCTGGCTTTGCAGGAATCATTCTTGAAGATCAGGTTCATATTTTATAAAATTTTAAAAGTTTCTTGAATAGTTATGTTGTGCTAAGCCTTTTTGGCTGTATTTTTTCCCCTCTTTAGAAGTTGGATGGCTATTTTGGATTTTTCAGTTAGGTTCATTGTAGATAATTTTGAAACACAGATGGGTTTTTTTTTTTTTTTTTTTTTTTTTTTTTTTTTTTTGCATCTATGATGTTTTGTTTTGAAAAATTACAAAAGTTCCTTATATTACAGTTATAGTTACTGGTTCAGCATGAGTGTAGTGCAGGTATTGCTTTTATGAATAGAATTCAAAATAACTTCATGTTCTAGGATATTGAAATTTGGTTTAGAACTTAGAAGTCTCTGCTCCAAGTGTTTGCATGTGATGATGAAATAAATTGGGTTTTAAGCAAACAAGCCTCAGACCTCTTACCTGTAAGCATGTGGAGAGAGAAATGGTAGAATTGGGTAGAAAATATTTTTGAGGTTGTAGTGAAGGAATATGATGAAACCTGATTCTCAATACCAGAACAACCCAAACAGAGCAATATTCCCACCAGATCAACAATTGAGAAGTGCTATTATGAATATACCTCTATATTTGATTGAAAAAGAAATGGGCAACATGATAATGAAGAACAATTAAGAAACACACTGAATGTAAAGATAACCTGCACTTCGAGGGGCTAGTCCCTCCCAATTTCCTACGAAAATATTCTGCTTTTACAATTTGAATCTCTCAATTTATACTCACTCACACTAATTTCATTGTTCCTGCCACGTGGATACTAACTCCCACTTGCACACCCGCTAATTGCCCTTAAATCCTTTCATTGTGGTCAATCATTTGTACGGAGGCAGGCTGGACCATCAGCTCTAAATCTTCAGTGAGGCATTTCGGAAGCGGTTGAACTGGGACAGAGTATGAAGGCTCTTTTGCAACTGAGAAACGTGAAAAACCGGTGAATCCGGGAAGAGTTAGGCAAGGCTAAGCAATAGGCAACCTCACTGATTTTGGCCAGAACTTGAAAGGGACCATAAATCGAGGCTGAGTTTTTCATTGAGCTTGTGAGCCAAGGATATGAAGTTATATGGTTGAAGTTTTAAGTAAACAAAGTCACCTGGTTCAAAGGAAACATCTCGGCGATGAGAATTGGCAAGGTTCGCATGTGGTCTTGTGGGCTTTGAGATTGGATTTCAATTCTTCTAACAAGACATTGCATCAATCATTTGCTGATTAACTGCTTCTACCGTAGAATAAACTCTGTAATTTTAAGACGTGGGAGGTGCACGACCAAAAAGAGCTTGGAAGGTTGACATTTTGGTAGAGCTATGGTAGGAGTAATTCTACCCAGTGAATCCATTTAGGCCACTGCTTCGGTTTGTTCTTGTAAAACACCGAAGATGTCTCGATACAAAATTAACCACCTCCGTTTGTCCATCAATTTGGGGGGGTATGCGTACTGAACTTGAGAGTAGTACCTGCAAAGCGAAACAGTTTAGTCCAAAATTTACTCAAAAACAGGCAATCACGGTCAGAAACAATGGACTTTGGAAAGCCATGTAATTTGACGACTTCCTTTACAAAAAGGGCAGCTACATCAGTTGCATTATAAGGGTGGCACAGCAACATAAAATGGCTATACTTTGTCAAACGATCCACTACCACAAAGATGGTGTCAAACCCAAAACTCTTAAGGAGGCCGCCGATGAAATCCATGGAGAGGTCGTCGAAAGCCAAATCTGGAATTGGCAGGGGCTGTAACAAACCGGCAGGCTTTAAGGATAAATGTTTGTTTTGTTGGCAAACCCTATAAGCATTGACAAAGTTTTAGATATCTTGCGTGATGCCTTCCCAAAAAACGACACCAACAATCTGTTTATATGTACAAACGAAACCCGAATGGCTGTTACTTGGAGTATTGTGGAATTCTTCTAATATCTGCGGAATAAACTTGGAAGTTTTTGGAAGGACAAGTCGGCCTTTGTACAGTAGGCAGCCACAGTGTAAGGTGTAATGAACTTTTGAAGTAGGCTATATGAGAAGATCTTGGACAATCAGCTTGAGTTTGTCATCCTAGAAAGCTTCGGCTGCCAAGTTTTCATATCCTTGGAATATAGCTATAGAAAGAGTATGAAATTCAGGACCAGGTTCACGTCTAGAAAGAGCTTCAGCCACTTTGTTAGAGCTTCCCAGGTTGTACTGAATCTCAAACTTGTACCCCAGCAATTTAGAAATCCATTTATGTTGTTCCGGAGTGATTGGTCTTTGCCCCATCAAGAACTGTAAACTTCTCTGATCAGTCTTAATGATAAATTTCCTGCCGATCAAGTAGTGACTCCATTTATGCACAGCAAAAACAATAGCCATTAGCTCTCTCTCATATACTGATTTTTGTTTGGAAGGAGAGAAAGCTTTACTGAGGAATGCAATGGGGCGTCCTTGTTGCACCAAAACAGCACCCATGCCGAGGCCAGAAGCTTCAGTCTGTATTTCAAAGGGTTCAGAAAAATTGGGAGTTGCCAATATCGGAACCGAAACCATGGCTTGCTGTAAACATTTGAAAGCCTGTTGTGCTTCAGGGGTCCACTTGAAGGAGTCTTTCTTCAATAATTGAGTTAATGGTTGGGCAATCTGGCCATACTTCTTAATGAATTTCCGGTTGTACCCTGTAAGACCTAGGAATCCCCATAGACTTTTCACTGTAGTTGGAATAGGCCAGGACAACATGCAGTCGATCTTAGTAGGGTCAACTTCAACCCCTTTTTGGATATGATGTGCCCCAAATATTCCAGTTTAGCTTGAGCACATTGACATTTCTTCTTATTAACCACTAACTTTTGTTGTTGGAGGATTTCAAAGACTTGGCGTAAATGCATTAGATGAATAGAGTAGTTAGTACTGTAAATTAATATATTGTCAAAAAATACCAGTACAAATTTGCGGAGATATGGCCTGAAAATCTCATTCATCAACGCTTGGGAGGTTGATGGAGCATTTGTCAACCTAAAAGGCATCACTAGGAATTTGTAATGCCCTTTGTGCGTTCGAAAAGTCGTTTTAGGGACATCTTCCTTGTGAACCTGAATCTGGTGATACCCTGATTTGAGGTCCAGTTTAGAAAATATGACGGCATTCCCCAATTCATCAAGCAACTCCTTAATGGTTGGAATTGGAAACTTATTTTGTATAATGATGTCGTTCAAGGCCCTGTAATCCACACAAAAAGGCCAACTGCCGTCTTCTTTCGAACCTACAATACAGGACTAGAGAATGTGCTTATACTAGGTTGAATAATACCTGCGACCAATATCTCCCCAACCAATCTCTCAATTTCATTTTTATGAGTGTAAGAATATCGGTATGGTCTGATGTTTTGTGTTTGGGCTCCGTCTTTCAAGGTAATTGGGTGGTCTTGTCAACGATGAGGGGAAGGCCCGCAGGTTGATCAAAGATGGGGGCAAATTCGATTAAGAGAGCATCTACCCTTGGGTCAATAGGGATTACCTCCTCTTGCTCCTGTTGAACAATGGAGCAGAATTCAACTATAAACCCATGGTCCTCTTGGTGTAAGGACTTCATCATTGCCTTCAACAATATAATTGTTTTCACTAAAGAAGGATCTCCTTGGAGGATCACTTGTTTCCCATCCACATCAAACTTCATGGTAAGACACTTCCAATTAGCACACACATCTCCTAAGGTACTCAACCAAGTAAATACCGAGAACAACATTAGCCCCTCTTAAGTCAAAAGGGAAAAAATCCTGCATCGCAGTAAGCCCTGGCATGACTAACTCCAGCCCTTTACATACCCTTGTATTGCGTACCGTAAACCCATTCCCTACCATCACACCGAAAGCTTTTGTTTCTTGCACTTTCAATCCTAGCTTTTGAACTAAGTCTTGAGAGATGAAATTGTGGGAAGCTCCATTGTCTACCATTGCGATGACTTCAGCCCCTTTTAACTTACCCCGAAGCTTCAGAGTATTGGTTGACGTTAAGCCCACTATGGAGTTCATGGATAAAGCCACGAGATCCCCTTTTACGTTGCCTTCTTCCTCGAATTTCACCATTGTTTCTGCTTCCACCAATTCTTCCTCTTCATCCGTGACTAACAAGATCTGTAAAGTTCGATTTTTTTATCTATGAGCTAGCCCAAACTTCTCATCAGACTTGTAACAAAGCCCTCTTTCCCTTTTGTATTGAAGCTCTACATCAGTGAGTCGCCAGAAGTGGTTGTCTCGAGAGATCGCCGTCGTTGACTCTATTAGCCTATCTTCTTTTACATTTCTCATTTGAAAAGGGAAAGTGGGATCTGGAGATTTATTTGAATTGGATACCCACCCAATTTTAAGTGGTTTTGGGTCGGGTGTAAATCTTGTATAAGCTTCCCCTTTATTGGTCCATTGGGCTCAGCCTGTCTTCCATTTATTTTTATCCAAAACCCAATTCCTTTCTTCAATCCTATGGGCTTGGTCCATAAGTTCAAATAAGTTGTTGGGCCTCACTAACCTTAATTAAACCCTTATCTCCTCCTTCAACCCACTTGTAAAAGTCCCCATTAACAACTCTTCTTCAACCTCATGCATCGGTGCTGCAAGCAGTTCAAACTATTCACGGTATTCAGTCACGGTGGTAGTTTGTTTCAGCGTCACCAGGGATTCAAATGCTGAGCGCTTGTACGATGGCCTAAATCGCTCAGTCTCCACCTTCTTGAATGTACGCCAGTCTGTAAATGGAACGCGAGAGTCTACCCACTGGAACCAGTTCAATGCTCGCCCCTACATGCACACCGTCGCGGCCTTCAGCTTTTCCCCTTCATCAAATTTGTTTACCCGGAAGTATAGGTCCGCTTTGAAGATCCAACCATGAGGGTCCTCACTGTTAAACACTGGTAATTCCAATTTCCTCACCCTTCGATCATCTCCTCCACTCTCGTTGGATTTTGATTGATTCCGGCTTTCGTCGTCGTGATTTGCATGGATCTCCGATGATTCGACCTCCTCTTTGCC